CAGACTTTTCTAGATTTAGCTGGACTTTATCCAGACTTATCTAGATTTCTCCAGACCTCATCCAGCCCTTTGACCTCTCCGGACTTCTCCCACTTTCCCGACTTCAAATACACTTTTCCAGACCTTATCCAGACTTGTCTGAATTTCTCCAGACCTTATCCAGCCTTTTTCCGACGTTTCCAGAAATTTCCAGGCTTTTCCAGACTTTATCCAGACTTTTCCAGACTTAGGTAGATTTTTCCAGACTTTATCCAGACTTGTCTAGATTTCTCCAGACCTAATAGAGCCTTTTCCAGATTTTTCCAGAAATTTTCTGGCTTTTCCAGACTTTATCCAAACTTATCCAGACTTTTCCAGACTTAGCTAGACTTTATCCAGACTTGTCTAGATTTCTCCAGACCTTATCCAACCCTTTCCTGACCTCTCCGGGCTTCTTCCAAACACTTACCCGACTTCAATTATGTATAAGTAATTGCCTATCTATGAGTCAGCACTTAATGTATGCAAAAGCGGTGACAACCTTGAACTAACATAAACATTTCGATTTTATTTTCAGATTGCCTTATTTGCATAATTAAAGCGGTGACAACCTTGAACTAACATCTCGATTTTATAGTCAGATTACTAATGCTATTTGTTTACAGTAAAAAAGGAGTAATAAAGAAAGCAAAATAAAAAGAAAACAAAAATACATAAAAATGATGTGTACGTGACAAAAGTCACGTTGGTCACACCAGCTCGATTTAGTCATCCGCGGTTTATGGTGTAAAAGGCAATAACCTCGTATTAAATGCAAGAAAACAACAACGTCATAAATTTCTAAAATGGCCAGTTTTTAAGAAGCTGTCAATTTTTTGAATACCGTTGGTTTCAGGCATAGGATAATATTTCATGAAATATGTTTGGAAAAAAAAAAGAATAACGTAGCGAAATGATAAACGTATGCGTCACTTTATGTACACAGCTACGTGCTAATGTCTCGATTCTCACAATGTCAATGTGCCCTTGATGTTCAAAGTCAATCACTATTTTTCGTGATTTTAATGGTAATGAGTAATAATATCTGTGTAAATTTATTTCCTATTTCTGATAAGGAATAATTTCTAATTTTTTTCTTCCAATTCTGAATCGTTAAATGTGTATAATTTTCAAGTTAGATACTGATAAGATGTTCATATTTTCCAAATTAATTTTATTTTACAGTTGATTGATATTATTTACAATATTCTGTATTTTGGTACTCATTTGGATATAACGCATCTTCATTTCCATGGAATTTTCTTGGTTTATATTTGAAAAAATAGTGTAAAACTTTGGTGGTCGACATAGTTAGTAACGTCTTTTTTTTCTGAACAAAAATTGATACAAGAGTTTTGTGGTCTATTTTAAGATATCAATTTGATAGCAAAGAAATGATTCTACTCTAGCATATCAGGGGTCTGTTACAAAATAAAATTCCATGGAAAAATTGCATTCGGAAATCGGAAGACACCTTGATAATAAGTCTCACAAGTTATTGAAATTACACAGGCGAAACATGAGTTAACTATCTCGATAGGCCAACTTGATTTTTAAAAAACATTTATTTAAGCTTAATACAAAAGCACTTAAAATACTGACCAAATCTAACAATGCAATTCTAATTATTTTATAAGAATAATTATGCAGGGTCAGCTTGTTCACGCCTCCATCCCTATGTTCAACTATACCGTCAGGGTAGTTGAATCGGTTAATGCTTCAGGGCTTCTTCTTGTTTTCTTTGCGGACTGGGTAGTAGAATCGGTTGAAGCTTAAGGGCTTCTTCTTGTTTTTTTTTTTGTGGACTGGGCTTTTGGCAGAATTGTCTGCAAAACATAATGGCACAGCCAAGTATCAGCAGAAGACGTATTAAAATTGTCCAAATTGTTGGAAAGGACCTCGCACGCCTTATATGGAATTTCGGCGATCGGTCGATTTTTTTCAAATTTTGATATGTTGTGGAGGATTTAATTCTTAACAACCTACAAATGGGACGAAATCTTGTAGGTATTACGGTCTTCGAGATATGAGCATTGAAAGATGAACTTTTTTGCAACATTTTGTGTTCTATTTTTTCTCAAAGTTTTACCTATCCAAGGAAAAAGCGGGAGTTATGAAATCCTTAACTCCCGCGCGGCAGTTATGAAATCCTAAATCCCGCGCGGGAGTTAAGAACCTGTTTATGATTACCGTTAGCAATATATTATTTGGTTATAATAGTTCAATAGGATATAAAAGTAATTATAGCCATTATATTGGCCGCCATGTTGAGGATATCGAGTTGCCCAAAAGTCACGGGATGTCATCATTGATTTTCTTGCAGCTCAATACGTCCTTTTACTAATCCAGGAATAAAAAAGCTTAATACCATAATTTTGGGTTCATATAAAATATTTGGTTTGGCAACCGGACTAATATGCTTATACCTGATTCGAGAAAGCATAGGATTTCAAGAGAGAAGTTTTAAAAAAACGATATTGGATTTTAATTTGCACATCTAAAAATATTTTTAACATTGCACTTTTGCTTTTCTTTTCTAAACTCGCCGTACCCTTGTTATTTTAAATGGAATACTTTGTATATTCTTTAACTTTTGGGTTATTCCAAATTTTAGTCATATTTTATAAATACGTGATATCCGATGCCTACATAAAATTTAACTGTCTTTGACATAGTGCCAGTTGAAAACCCGGAATTTTGAAAGTTTGCTAGGCTTACAGCCGCGGCTTCATATTTTTGTTGTTGTCAATATTTCAAAAAAAGTTAAATAGGATTATTATGTCATTCAAATTTTCAGAGAAATGAAAAAATGCAATATCATGCAGGTATCATTCAAAATAACAATGTGATGGTGAATTTAGACAGAAGCGGCAATGACAAAAATGTTTAGAAGATGCGCAAATTACAATCAAATAACTATTGTTTGAAACTTGTTTTCATAAACCTTATTTTATCTGGAATAAGGTCCCCTTCCTTCACAAGCCTCCCTGCACGTTTTATTGATAATGGGAGCGTCCAAAATTAACAAAAAAAATATGTGGATATTGGTAAATTCAACAACAAAAAATGGGTCAAATTAAATATAGTGTGTTCATTTTAAAACTCACCACCCCTATTATCTCGGAGTTGAATTTTTTTTTTTAATTCCTGAAACACGTCAACTATAATTTGAGGGGGGAAGAGTTCTTATGCAAAATTCACCTCCACCCTTTCAACTCCCCAGCCCCCGAAGCCCCTTCCTAGAAAATCTAAATGGGTGAAGGGGTCAAGTGATGCATCATTTTGGAGGGTTTTCAATTCCATACATTTTGGTACTAAATTTTAATCCCTAAGTTCAACTGTTTTGGAAATATTGACAGTAGAAAATTGACTTTTTTGCTACTTTGACAGACTGTAAAACCTGAACGGTTAATTTTCGAGGTAAACCGATCTTACTCTCTTGTCTTAGATTTTCATAAACTATCATTTGACACCAACTTTGAATTTAACTGAAGATTAAATTTTTAACCGGAATTTTTTATCATGGGTTAAATTCAAAGTTGCTGTCAAATGATAGTTTATAAAAATCTAAGATAAGAATGTAAGATCGGCTTTCCTCTAAAATCAACCGTTTAGGTTTTACAGCCTGAATTTTCAACTCTCAATATTTCCAAAACAGTTGAACATAGGGATTAAAATTTAGTACCAAAATGTATGGAATTAAAAAGCCTCAAAAATGATGTATCACTTGACCCCTCTTCCAATTTAAGATTTTCTAGTGAGTGGCTCGGGGGGTTGGGGGGTTGAAAGAGAGGAGATGAATTTTGCATAAAAACTTTCAAGTTATAGTTGACGTTTTTCAGGGATTTTTTCGAAAATTTTCAACTCCGAGATAATAGGGGTGGTGAATTTTAAAATGAACACCCTGTATACGTGGACTCGTTTTAAAAGTGAAGAGTTTCAACTAACTCGTGAATGGATACCTATACTTACCGTTTATGGGTACGCCGCTGTTCACCAAGAAAACAAATAAATTATAATCTACTTATCAAAAGACAGATAAACGTGGGGTGTTATAATAACCTACCAAAATCTTCTTTCACAAAATACAGTAAGTTCTACCATTGTATAGTTCTACCAACATGAAAACCTTAAAAATAACAGGACTTTAGAAAAAAAAAAACTAAATTCCATTAGCGAAGAGGAATATCAAAAATTTGTGAAATTACACGGAAAAAACTAAGTTTATTATAATAGTTTGTAAATAAATTCTAGTATTTGCTATTAAAATTATTATATCGGGTCTTCAAAAAAAAAAAACCAATCGAAGATTGCTATGGTTTTTCAAACGTATGTCTTAGCAATATTTTTCTTTAATTTGTCAATGAACTTTAATGTCAAAATGTCATGTCAAAAATCCTGACCAATAAAGAAACAGTAATGCGACGTACGTTTTCGTAATCAAAGCAATCTTCGATTGGTTTTTTTTTTTGAAGACCCGATACTTTTTATAAGCATATATTATTTTAGTATCAGTTACTAAAAATTTATAATAATTGAAAAATATTGAATATATAATACGATCTACTATAATACTTAGTATAATTTCCCGCCAAACCGTTAATATGTTATTGTTAAATATAATTTATAATAAATTCTACTTAGAATCCTATTTTACAATATTTTTTATTAAGATTTGTCCTACATTTATTCTAAAGGTAATTTTTAATATCAGGAGATTTTAGAGGATATTATCCATCTATAATAAAAATGCTTTTTTACAATATTCACATTGTTCGAGCTAGGAAATCGGGATGTTACTGTTAACTATTTTTATTTTAACTCGTACACCAAAGACGGAAATTTGACTTTCAGTGATATTCGGGATTCATTAAGTTACCAGTTAGTGAATGAGTGACACCTCGCCACCCTGTTCCACGCTTGATCGAGTTTTAGAAAATATGTTTTTCAATATTTATGATTTAGTGTGTTTGCGGTGCAATATGAATAGTATTAAAGAAATTTTGGAAAATTTTGAGCTGAGTGAACTCCTGGACTCCTTTGAAGGTAAGTTTTGATCAACTCTCGCACATACATACATATGAAACGCAAGCGCAAAATATTTCAATATGGGCTAAAATTAATTTAATTTATAATTTTGCAGAGTAGAGGAAGTCGGCATCAAAAAAATTAATTTGTTTTCATTCGTATATACTTACTATAGAATAAACCCTCCTATTTCGAATGTTTCATTTTTTTCAGCTAACGATATACCTAGACTTGGAAGTCTTGATTTTGACGAGAGTTTACTAGAACATCTATTTTTCCTGAGGTAATGAAATAATAAAATTAACAATTTATTTAATAATTATTGACTTTTTAAAAACTGTTTATTTTAGAGTCTTGAAAAATACCTTGATGAGAACACTGAAGGGAAATTACTCTTATTATCTAGAAATGAACTTTTAAGTCCCCTCAAAAAAAAGAAGTTGACGAGAATAATCATCGAATTTTTGATGAAAAAGTACAGAGAAAAGTAATAATTACTACATTATTTAATTGAATTGTAAGTATTATTATCAACAAAAATAATTTTGTTCCAGGATTCCACAGATTGCATCCCAACAAGTAGCAAAGGAAATTAGTACAGTCTTCAAAAAAGAGTCGGAGGAAATTTATTTTCGTCCTTACAAATACACTTCACAAAAATGTAGTGGAAAGCTTTGGTCAAGATACATCAATGTGAAAAAAACATTTAATGAGCTGAGAAAGTGTACCTTAGAAACAACAAGTAAGTGATATTACGCCGTAGTGTAATTTTGACTGTTATTGCCAATTGCCACTTGACTGATAAAACGTTACAATAGATCTAATTTTCCCCTCAACAATGAATTATTCAAAATATCCTAAACGACTGCTTTTTTTCAGCTTTTCTAGACAAAAATGACAATTTAGGTGATGAACCCAATCAGCCAAGAACAGTATGCAATTGAATTTTGCAAATACAATATCTCTCCCATGGACGAAATTGAAAATAATTGGAACATTTCCTCCAATGCACGATAGAACATGATCAAAAAGGGAATAGGCGTGATGGAATATTTTGAAGCATTTCCAGTTCTTAAACCAACCACAAGTTTCCATTTTACTTTTGAACGACTTTCAAAAAAATTATCCCACAAACTGTGATGGTTTATACATAAATTGGACTGAATTTAGAAATGCTATCCTATACCTACGCATAATATGAATGTATGTATGTATATGGAAAAAAATTATTAGGAATGTAATAAAATGTTTCAGAATTCAATTTGCGTTTTGCTTTTCTTCCATTTTCCTATTTTTTTTCTTTCTAATCTAAACTAATTGGACCAACAAAAAGTTTGCTATAAATCAAAAATATATTCTTAAAAAATGTGAATTTTGCAATATCAAAAGCAGTGAAAAATCTAAGATTATAACGCTAATAAAATGTTTTTGTAAAGAATACTATAATTTATAATACTGATAAGTAAAAAATATATTAAATTTTATTAAAATAAACATTTAATTTGAAAAAGTAAGTTTGTAATATTTAAAAGAAAACATTTTAAAACAAACTAAAATTTATTTTTTAATTTATTAAACTAGCTAATAAAAACTACAAAAAAATATCATAAAAGATATAAAAAGCACATAATGCATGGTAATATCACACATAGTGAAAATAAGAATATATTCCTTATATATCTTATAAACTAAATTTGGTACTATTTAACATAAAATATAGTAAGGCCCGGTTGTACAACGGACGTTCAACCGAAGTTCACACTGACTAGTGGTTCAAAGGAAAAAATTCGTTGTACATGGTCGGTTCAGAGTGTGAACTGAGGTTGATCTTGAACGTCCGAATTTGGGCGTTCAAGAGGAGTTCAAGTCTTTTTTGGGATTTTCTAACCTGACTCTCCTATGTTTTGTTTGTTTTCTGATAAGGGATCACCATGGCTTTTGAATATATATTTTTTTTCAAGTGGATATTCGTTATTTTATATTTAATTGAAAATGGATCTTGAGTGGGAACTGTGGGAAGATATTACAGATGACGAAGATTTTTAAAAATTACTTAATTTTATGTTACATATAAATTATGTACTTCCTCGAGCCCCACAAATATTCAGAAATCGAACAGCGAACAGATCATTTGAACATTTGTAATGATAAAGAATAATTCAAGGACAGATTCAGTTTGGAGAAACAAGCAGTGTGATTTATCAAAGATGAAATTATGCATCTGTGACCTGTCCTGTCTGTAAAAAAATATGAAAATTAAAATTAAATAAATAGTAAACAAGAAAACACAAAAAATATACAATGAATTTGATAGGTTATGGATTGGGATGCGCCTATTTTCTTTCTTCTTTTTATTGTGGGCATTGCAACTGATGGTTCAAGTAAACCGGCAGTGGTACAACACTCGAAACTCTGAACCACGTTCAATATTGAACGACGGTTCAACAGAACTTGTGTTGAACCATTCTTTGTACAACCGGGCCTAAGACATAATGAATATTTTATTGTCAAATTATTATAAAAATGTTGTAAATGGTACTAAACTGGGTATTCGTCCTATATAGTATTATAAAATCTTGTATGCTGTAATGTTTTTCTAATAAATCGTACTATATTTTTTTCTCCGTGTAGTTCTTTCTTTATAAACAAAGAGACTAAAAAATGCCAATAAAAAAGATTTAGTTTTTGTTTAGTGGAAACCTGATACTTGGAAATTTTGCCTAACAACAATAAGGAGAGCTTTAAAACAGAAAAACTCAACCAAAGTAGCATGTTCACAAATAAATTATCTTTCAAATTCCGCAAACCGCTCATTGATATCTTTTTTAGTTCGCGTACTATTGGAATCCAAAGTTAAAACCTAAAAAATTTGCTTGTTCCGCTTCATTTTGTCCAGCAGTTTAGATATGTCAAAACATACAGTCATTATATTGGAAACATGTAATATAACCCAAAATTTTCTTAGAGCAACATTATAATAATTAAACCACTGTTCAGACTTGGCACACAAGAGAGGGAGAAACTTGCCAAAATAAAATATTATTCAATAATTCAACGCTTTAATATAGACATTTAAAGTAAGTGCCTATCTCACAAAGCCAAATAGTGATACTCACATCAGATATTTATAATCGTAATCCATAAAAACACTGCAAGTTTCCTATCTTTTCCATGCATTTACATAGTAAACGCGTCAATAAAGGACTGCAGCTGACGTCACAGCAATGGCGGCAGATTTTGCCGATTTGGCAATCCTGTAGAGTTTACAATTAGATGTCACTAGCGTTGCCTCAATATTTTCCTTGAGTCTGCGCATGACGTGAGCCCAAACGTCGCGCAGGGCTTGAATTTGACTTAAGTAGCGTGTGCTCAGCTCAGACTTGTTCATTGTTGACTTAAGTTTTAGCAACAGTGCGCTCCCATTTTCATAGTGTGCCGATCTTCTTAGTGTGGCTGGAAAAGATTGATCCGGTTTTTTTTTTCAAACAGGTAAGATTCACTTACAGTAAATCTAACATTTAACGATAAAGTAAATTTGGTTCGTTGAAATATTGAAAATTTGCCTAATTATAAATGCGAATTAATTCCTATTTTGCAGAATTCAATTCACTGATCTCCTTAGTGTGGCTGGAAAAAATTGATCCGGTTTTTTTTTTTCAAACAGGTAAGATTCACTTACAGTAAATCTAACATTTAACGATAAAGTATATTTGGTTCGTTAAAATGTTGAAAATTTGCCTAATTATAAATGCGAATTGTGAATTAATTCCTATTTTGCAGAATTCAATTCAAATTCTCTTTGATATATTCGAATTTTTTCCTCTTTATACTTTATAGGTTTTGGATTTATTTCTACACTTACTTTTTCACTTTTTTTATGTTCTTTTGGTCATTATTTAAACTAGGACATTTTTTATGATGAATTTGATGATTTGTAATTTGTTCTGCATTTAACTCTGATTTATTAGTGTTTTCTGTTAATCAATCTCTTATGTATTTAATCGACATGCCTTCTTCAAACTTCTAAATCAACTTTGATTTAGGGGGCGTTAATGATGTTGACATCTGTCAATTCTGCATTGATTTTTTTCAAATTCGTCTGCAAAGACAAAGAGAAAAAAAAAAAAAACGTCACATCAGAATCCAATTTGTCATAAATATTCTTTGTCTACAATATCAATATTTTGCGTTTTTCTCGAAATGAAAAATAATATCTGGTTGCCTGTTTTCCAAGGTTTAGGTCGTTATGGATTATTTCTGAGAAATTAAGAGAAAACGCAAAAAAATCAAAAAAAGTATTTGTATTGTAGGTAATCGATCAAACAATGATTATACCAAATTTGATGTGAGGTTTTTCTTTGCCAGATTCTCATGAATCCTTTCGAGGTGCGATAATGGAAAAGACTATGGATTTACTGAGGGAAAACCCAGGACCATTCTGGGAGTATAATAGAATGCTGCAAAAAAAATTAAAAACTAAAAAATGCCAATTTTCGATTGCAGTCTCTACACGGTTGTGTGTGCCACTTTGAAAATAGCTATAAATAAATAAATTCGTAATTTTTGCCAATTTTCGATTGCTAGTAGTAGTAGCTAAGATCTACAGCTATTTTCAAAGTAGCACACACAACCGTGTAGAGACTACAATCGAAAATTGACAAAAATCACGACTTTTTTAGAGTTTTCAATTTTTTTTTTGAGAAACTCAGACGGCGAGGCATTGTACAAAAATAATCTTGATTGGTTGCTAGTAGTACTAGCTATCATTTATAGTTATTTTCAAAGTGGCACAAAGAGCCCGGTACCGACTATAGTCAAAAATTGGGAAAAATCAAGATTTTTTTAGTTTTTAATTTTTTTGGGACACTTCAGCATTGTATTACAGTACTCACATCTCTAAGTAAATCCATAGTTTTTCATATTACCGCACTCTTCAAAAGCCGGTCTTGAAAGGATTTATGAGAATCGGGCCGGTATAGTTCAAAGAAGGCTCAGTTTTATGGCTGAGATTTTATGGATAACTTCACTCTAATTCACTTTTTAACTGTCCCAAAAAATCAGATTTTAATTACCGACTGCCTCACTGGATCAATTACTGCCGGCCACTATTTGCGAGAGCGAAATTTTATTACTTTATTTTTCATGTGCTTTTATATTTTGAGTCTCTCGAATATTGGGTTTCTCGATTTAGTCAAAACATCATTAAAATATTTCATGGAATACGCAAAATTATTGAGGTCAAGTTGAAGACAATGCCCAGACAAAGAGCTTTAATCTTTTTTTTCGTGACTTAAATAGGACATTCAAAATTTGTTTTATGTAAACTTTGGTAATAGCCTCTATGCATACGCAGCTGTCGAAATAGGGTCTTATTAATGACGGTTTTTATTGCGGTCCAAATAACTTTTCCAATAATTCCAAAGTCCGATTTTACGGGTAATAAAATTAAAATTTTAAAAGTTTCAAATTTCCTCTACAGATGTCCGAGAAAAAAAAAAGAACCTTCTTATTTGCTTTTTCTCGCCTTTATTTGTGATATTTTGGAAGAAATGCCACTCCATGGTTGCCAGTGCTTCTAGCCTACAAAGATGACATTACCAGACTTAAAAGACACGGCCCTGGATTTTAATTTCTTTTTCTGTTACCCTTCAACCTCCAAAAAGTAGTGAGATTTAATTGAAGGCTCACAGTTGAAATAAAAACTGACATTTTCATTGTATCGAAAAACATTGAATATCGCCCTATTTTCCATAATTTTTTATGAATAAAAATTTTGAAAAATCATCTTAAAATCTCTTTAAATACCTGCGGATATTAGATACATATAATTTTTTTCGAAATTTTGAAACTTCGTTGGTGGTCAACGTTGTATGCTATTTAATTTTGTAAGAGTTGAGTGATATGAATTTTGTTCTACTATTTTGCAGTTTATAGTTGAAGCAATTTTGTACATTTTATACATTACTCATCGGGACTTATTTTTTAATAGGGTTAGGTACAGGGTTGTTGAAATATTTTGAACTATCCAGTGAAAAAAATAATTGCCAGTGGATTAGAAAAAGTACTTGACAGGTGCCAAATGACATATTGTCGAAAAAGTAGCAGACGAGAAGAATTTCGCTTTCCCTTATATTTTTCCTGATTCTTGACACTCGATTTTCGTTAATTAACTAAAATTGAATTGCATTTAATGACACATATTTAGTTTTCAGGGAAAATTGCATCTTAAAGAGTATCTTCGGTTTAATTTAAATGATATAGAACGCCAATTACCTTATCTGTTATGTGACTTATAAGTTTGAGTCGCAAAATAAACTTTTCGACATTGATTTGAGCTTGATATAATAAATGAATGTTATCAGTTGTGTATGGTTACCAATTTTCTTAAATGTTTCAATAACACCGATAAGAATAGGATAATTGCATAAATGATTGCATTTTAGTACCAAGAACAATGCAAAAATTAAATTTTATTGCTCTGATTTTTTTTTAAAGCTATTATTGACTTGGGGTTTTTCCATTTTATAGATTGACGATTACTTGGACCTTGAATACAGCTATCGTACTCTATACCGCCCCCTAGTTGGTACTGCTATTTCTAGCACTTTGCGGCCCTTCGGCAATAATCCAGGTAATAATTTTATTTCTTTATTTATAGGATATTGATTTACCAGAATAGGACTGTTCTGTTCTTTTTATTTTGAAATATTTATCAAGTAGAAGTTCAGCCAATTTGAGAATGGTACTTGCTTCGCCGCAAGTTGCGCATTGGCATGTTTATCACGGTTGCCATAGCAATAGCGAGTAGTCAGTAGTCGAGTCATTCAGTGGCGTACCTTAATCAGATTTATTTCAAAACCAAATAAAAATTACCAAAATAATAGTTTGCCCGCTGGCGCACGACGCTGACTTCAACGTCAGAGCTCCGCGCAGCTTTCATAAACACGTGCGTGTACCATTCTTAAATTTGTAATAGTCTGATGAATTATTTCCCTAATATTTCGGGAAACTTCTATTATTAGTTTATTTTCCAAGATGTTCCTTTTTATTTCTGAATCTAGCATAGCGTAATTCAAAAGTTTGAAACATGTTATTTTGTATGAAAGCATGTTGTTCAAAATGTCCATGTGCCTATTTTCATGAATAAGACATCAAACGAATGCAGTTTTTTTTGTTTTTTAAATACATCTATTTAGGAATTCTAAGGCATTACAACTTTTTTTTCTATAGTAGGGATTGGAAATGAGTTATGCACACCCAGGGCATTGGTGTTCGGGCGCCCTGGGTAGTGTGGGACTCGCACCCACTAAAACCCTTCCCCTACTGCTCTGTCGCCCTCCCTGGAACCGCTCTCGCATTACTTCGGCGAGGGAGGTTGTGTAGTTTGCACCTGCTCGCAGCTCTAAAAGGCCTTTTGCATAGTGCATACTGCTTTCATCCTCTCCTTTAATCTTTAGGATGGATTCTACCATGATTCGGACTTGCTCCCAATTCGCTTGGCACTTTAGCAATTCTCTTGTGGTGTTCGCTGGAGTGAGAATTGTTTCGATGGAGTTGAAACACTTTTTCATATTTGCTCCATCCACCGCCTGTATGAAAAGAAGGTATGCTCCGCGGTATCACGCTCTCCACAGTAAGAGCACCCATTGTCGGGTGTTTTACCTATTTCGAGGGTATAATCTCTGTAGCACCCATGACCAGACAGAAACTGGGTCACATAGAAGTTTGTTTCACCGTGCTCCCTGTCAATCCATGTCCCTATGTTCGGGATCAACCTGGCTGTCCACCTGCCCTTTTTGTAAGCTTCCCACCTATCCTGCCATTTAGTCCTCGTGATGTCTCGTGCCACTTTGCGAGCGCTTGTTATCTCCTGCGGGTTCGCCTTTGAGGCCTGTACCTCCACCAGGAGGTCTATAGGAGGCAATTCCGCGATCACCAGCAAAGCGTCTGTTGAAACAGTACGATAGCTGCTGGTGATTCGGATTGCGACCTGTCTGTACCCTCTCATAGATGTCCCGATTGTTATCCGTCGACATTGCGGATCCCTACACTGGAGCAGCGTACAGCATGATAGATCTCCCCACTGAGCCTAGCAATCTTCTCGTGATTGCCCTTGGGCCACCAATGTTGGGCATCAGCCTACCTAGGGCCATCATCACGCTGCTGGCTCATGTCGCGGTTTTCTGTCGGTGAGTCCGAAACTTCAGTTTGGAGTCCATCCATACCCCTAGATATTTTATCTCCGTTCTGAGGACAATCTCCATATCCAGGATTTGAAAGGTAGTATGAGGTACCTGGCACTTTGAGGAAACAATGACAGCCTCCGTTTTCTCCTTCGCTAGAATCAGCTGTTTGCTGGTCATCCATTTCTGGATCCGCGTCATGGCCACTGTGATTTTAGTTCCAATCTCCTCCAGGTCTTTGCCCAGAGCAGTAACAGCGACGTCGTCAGCGTACCCCGTTAGCTTGACCCCTGCAGGGAGGTTGATGTTCAGAAGACCGTCATAAAAGATGTTCCACAGAGTGGGGCCAAGAATAGAGCTCTGTGGAACCCCTCACGCCATCTGAAAGTTCTCTCTTTTCCCCTCTGCCACTATAATAATTTCTCTGGATGTCAGGTAACTCTGGATGAGTTTAGTCAAGTATGGGGCTGCACCTCTCCTTTCGATTTCATCCACAATCTCTTTCCATATGGGGCCGAGTTGAAAGCGTTCCTGATATCAAGTGTAACAATGATCCCCACCTTCCTGTGTCTATGGCTTCGTTTGCATATACCTTCCCTTGGAAATTCCAGCACACTTTGAACAGCCATTATGGTTGATTTGCTCTTTCTGAAACCAAACTGTCTGGCTGAGAGAGTCTCGCTGAGATTTAAGTCCTTGGAGAGCCTTGCGAGGATAATATGTTCCAAGAGCTTGCTTACAGTATCTAGGAGACACAGGGGCCTGTACTTTGGTGTAACCTGGTTCTCTTTCGTTGGTTTTTCAATGAGGATTAATTTGGCCTTTTGCCAGATTTCTGGAATATTCCTGGGTGGGTCGTGGCCGGCGCTTTGATGACGTCGACAGGAACCCCATCCAAACCAGGCGCTCTGTGCGACTTCAGTCTGAGACTAGCCTCAGTGACCTCCTTGTTTGTGAATTCCAAAATTTCCTGGTCTAGCTGGGAAGAGCTCCTTTGAGGCTTCCTTGGCTCTTTTCATGGTGAAAGCACTATTTGTGGTGTTCATTTTGAGTCTTTTCATGGCGATCTCATACCCATCTCCCCAGCAGTTCTCATCGATCTCCTCGCACAGGTTTCCCCAACAGGATCTCTTGGCTTCCATGATGGCCAGTTTCAGTTCTTTTTTGTGTTTTGAGTATTTGGTTCTGTACTGCTCATTTCTCTCTCGTTGTTGGCGGTTGGCATTACAACTAGAGCGGCACTGGTACCGAATTCTATGATCATATAGAAAAAAGAATTTTCAATAACAATTAAAAGAGGTGACAGTATATGTATAGTCTATCTATTTATTTTTTCTTCCAATGCAAATTATGAGGTTTGTTGAATGTATAAATAGGTTTTCAGTCTTTTTGGGAATTTAAAAATTTGTCTTTCATTTTTAATGTCATTTGGGATAGAGTTGTAAGTTTCAGATGCACGGTTAATTACACTGCACTTGCATGTGTTAGTTCTTGAGTTGTCCACATGGATATTTCCTTGCTGCCTTGTAGAGTGACCATGAATTTCAGAATTTTTTTTCACTAGTTTTATATTGTCCTAAAGGTGATAGTTGATTTTCTGCATAGGTTTGCACTCCTCTAGCTTTATTATATTCTTGATCTTGGGATATTTGGTATTTTCATACAGTTCTTTTGTTGGATAAAGTCCAGGTAGTTTATATAGATACTTAATAAAAAATTCTCAACATGATAATAAATAAATCTATTTTGTAGTCTCTGGATTTCTTCTATTGTTGTCGTTATTGCTGCTGCCAATATTGCATACATATATTGAAATTGTGATTTAAAAAATGATTCGTAGATGGATAATGGATGTTTTAATTCCATTTGGCAAATTATTCACACATTGTTTAATGGCACCACAGGCACATGAAAGTCTTCTTTGAATATTTTGAATATGCTCTTTAAAATTCGAGTCTTTGTCGACAATTATACCCGCAAGTAGATATTTTTAAGAGTTCACTTTACTTAGAGGTTTATTGTTTATTTTAATATCAATGTCAATTTGCTTTTTATTTTTTTGAGTAAATTGCAGGTAAACAGTTCTTCTTATGTCAAATTTTAAATTATTTTTCAGTAGCTACTGGAAATATGTCAATAAGCATTGATTTATAGTATCTTCAAGTGCTTTCATATCACTCCCTTCAAATAACAACACTGTGTCATCAACAAAAGTAATATACAGGGTGTCAATCTGAAAACTTCCCACTCTTATTATCTCGGAGTATAAAAATTTTCGACAAAATCCCTGAAACACGTCAACTATAATTTGTAGGGGGATGAATTTTTATGCAAAATTAACCTTCCCTCTTTCAACCCCCCAGCCCCCAGAGCCACCCCCTAAAAAATGTTAAATGGGAAGGGGGCTCAAGTGATACATCATTTTGCAGGGTTTTTAATTCCATACATTTTGGTACTGAATTTTAGTCCCTAAGTTCAACTGTTTTGGAAATATTGATAGTTGAAAATTACATTTTTGCTACTTTGACAGGCTGTAAAACCTAAACGGTTAATTTTAGAGGAAAACCGATCTTACATTCTTATCTTAGATTTTCATAAACTATCATTTGACACCATTTTTGAATTTAACCGGAGAAAAAATTTTCAACCGGAATTTTTGATCATGTTGTTTAACACTTTATACTGTAAACCACAACTTCTATGATATGAGGATTGGCAAATCGAACAATCAAAAGAGTGCTTTCTTGAAGAATATACAACGATTTTTAAAATTATTTTGAGACATCGAAAATTTACATTTTATGTCTATTCTATTCTTATTGCCATCGAATGTGCGGTTTCTGATTGCTATATAAACCAATTCTGGAGCCGCACACTCTTCCACAGTCTTTACACATCCAGTCTCTGGCAGCATTATCTCTTCACTCTCTTCCTCTTCTCTCGCTCTTTCCTGCTCTTTCGTTCTATGTCTGCGTCGCTGTTTCTCAAAAGTTTGTGGACTACTCCGACACCATGAGGGCCATCATTTGCCGTCGTCTCCCAGTTGCTGTTATCAATGCGGCACTTTGCCATATTTCATATTTTCCTTTAGAACATTTTTGTAGCATTTTTGTTGACCTCCTTGACTTGGTTTACTCCTTTTAGTTGTCGAAGACGCGTGCTTCGGGCATGCGGACTAGGTGACCTGTCCAGCGAATCAGTAAAGTTGGTGCTTAATGATGAGGGCTTATATGCTAATTGTCTTGGCCTCCTCCACTAATGTTCGTTCGTGGGTCTTGTCATTTAATCCGTAGGATCTTTCTTAGATATCGCTAGTGGTATTTTTCTAGGCTTTTTATGTGTTTTCTGTAGGTCCTCTCACATGTTTCGCAGCAAGTGTTGGTATTACAACTCCATTGTAGACGCGAAGTTTGGTCTCAGCGCTGACATCTTTTTTTTTTTGACTTGGCTAAATTGCAAATTATTCGTTTTAGGAAAAATATTACCTATTTTATGTTTTCCTATTGGTTCATCGTTTTGTTCTGGAGATCCAGATTTGGAAGAGTATTTGATGGTCAAGCGTGACGGACCTGAGTGTGCGAGGCTGGTTTGGCTTCCTCAAAATATGTGGTTCCCCGGGAAGGAGTACGTTGCACCTGGTGGAGCTGGGGTGTGGCTCTTTCCCTTATGATGGGGTTTGTGGCTGTTGATGCTTTAGTGAAGTGATTTGTGCAATATCATCCAGGTGGTTTTTCAGTTCTTAAAGCTGAGTGTCCCTGCGAAGTGTCCTATTCCTATATGCTGTTTTCTAGGCATAGTCGCGGTTGGAGATGGCGGTCTGTATGTTATTATTCGTCCTATATACATATTGTATGTGTTTATCTTGGTTTGGATGTTCAACTCGCTATGTCGGTTTAGGAGTGAGTAGAGTTGTTTAAGCTGGCCTTTTGCTTTGTTCCTGGCGTATTTGGTGTGCTAAGAAATGTATCAAATAATTTTAGTTGTAGAACCCACTTGTTTAATAACTTAACTTGTGCCAAAGAGAGTGTATTTCTATTAAATAATTGGTTTTTGAAAAAAAAAAAATTAAAATTTTTTATATAGTTTTTTTTATTATTTCTACATAACTTACATAGTTAATCTTATGCACTTGTACTAGCTGAGGCTTGCTGCTGCTGTGCCTCTGCCACTTCATCAACATCATCATCATCATCAGCATCATTAGCATCCTCATCGGTGGCAAATATTTCATCGATCTTCAATTTTCGTTTCACACCCTTGACTCTAGGTAGTATCCGCAAACGTTCGGGTTGGGAGGAGGGCCCCTCCTCTAGGTTTTCGTCCAAAAGGTTAAATTTGAATTTTTTTACAACTTGTTCCAGGAGCTTAAACTCCTCCTCGCTGTCGATTTTAGGTCGCATGTATCGAACTGGCAAATTTCCGAATTTACTTTTTAGAGTGGCCGCTCTCGGAGAATAGGTTAGGTTGACAATTATTTTGTCAACCTTTTGTGAAATATCCTTCACACCAAATCTAAAAAAATAATAGATAAAATAAAAAATTAAATAAAACAGAAAAAATAAAATAATGCAGACTTTTAATTTTAACAAATTCACACTAAACTCGAAAACTGAAATTAATTTTTTTCAATAGAAAAAGAAAAAAAAAGTACTTACTGGAAGAGATGCTTAGCCACAGCATAGAGACTTTTTATTGGTAACAGTGTTCTATCTTCGGAGAAAAGGACTAAAGTGGTTGGAATTGCTGCCATGTTTCGTCTTGTGCTCGTTGACTACGAATTATTCAAATTTCTCTTCCAATTAAATAGTAATAGTAATCAAACCAACAACCAAAAAAATGTATTGATAATAATATAATTATTTACCATCATTTTGCTACATTGTAATGAATGATAAAAGTTGTTTTCAACAACAGCTTTCCAGTTGCATCAGTATTCTGTTATTCATTACATACATTGTAACGACTGATAAAATTGGTTTTTCCACTTTGCAGAAATTTTCGGTAAAATAACAAGGTCAATAAGTTCAATTTGCAATCTTGTTGCAATTAAAGCTTCTTAAAAATTTTCGCTAACGTAACAAGGTCGATAAGTTCAATTTGTAATCTTGTTTTTCCTACTTTTCCTAAAAATTTTCGCTAACATAACAAGGTCAATAAGTTCAATTTGCAATCTTATTGTTCTCAATTGAAGCTTCTTGAAAATTTTCGCTAATATAACGTCAATAACTTCGCTAATATCATAGGAGTTATTTAAATTAGACACAAATCATCTCGTTTAATTAACCGGTAACTAAATAACGTAGTGTGTGTGTGTGATTCTATTCAAGATGACTTCAAATTTAGTGAAAGATTCGTATAGTATCCTGATCCAAAAAAACATTATTCATCATCAAAAAGAATGATTGAAGGCACTAGAGGTTTGTCCAGAAGAAATTGATTTCATAGAAAAAAATGTGAACGTGCCCTATTGTATTTCCGGTGGATTCAGCTCTTTTCTTTGCGGTTACACCAATACATTTGACGATATTGACGTATTTGTACGTACTCGTGCACCCGATTATAAATTTAGAAAGGTTCCAGCAACCAAAGGTATCGATGACGACTATCTCGGAAAATTCAATTCATTTTTATTGGAAAACCGTGGGTAACAAATGAAGTGGCTTATATCAATCATATGTGTGCCATCATCTTCACATTCGTCCTAGCAATTTGCATGACAGCAATTTTACCAAATGGATGTAGGTTGGACTTTTTTCATCAGAAGTTCAATGATGTTGGTATCAAGCCAGAAAGGGTCGTGAAGTATTCGAATAGGACCATTAAAATTACTAAAGTTCAAAGCTTGCAAGAGCAAATTGTAATTTTGCAACTAACACAATTTATTAAAGAAAATGGGTTGAGAAAGTGGCAGCAACAGTTTGGAGAGTTTTATGGTTTTTTAACTTCTACCTTAGCTGCGAAAATATGGGGTTACCAATATAATTATTGATAATCAGTGTTACATTGCAACTTATTTATCGAAAACTTTCCAGAAATTTTGTTATTGTAATAAAGTCCAGAGTAAGCATAGAAAATTATGTATTTGTATGATAATTATTGATATGAAATTTATTTAAATAGAAGCCCACCGTCTTGTTAATTCAGTCCACAAAGTACCAGTATCCAACCAAAGAAAACTACAACAATAACAACAAGAACAATGGCGTGCCAACAAGTACTAGACAATTTATCCTCTGAAGCTGTGCAGAAGTTTGAACTAGTGAGTAGATTACTTAAAACGAAAGATTATTAATTTCATATAAAATCGCTTAAGAAAACCATTTCAATTTAAAAAAAAACGTAGTTTCAATAGGGTAGAAACAAATTTAACCATTTTAAACCATTTTTAACAAACATTCAAATTTAATTTAAAATCAAATAAGTCGCTTTCTAAACGAAAATTGATTTGCCAAGATTTAGATTCTTGGAAGAATAAAAACTGGAGTTATTAACAATTTAAAACTAAAGGACCCCAAAGTATTTTTAAGGTTAGCATTTCGAATTTTTTCATTGAGAATTAAAAAAGAACTTAAAAATTCATTGTCGAAAGTCAATATTGTTTTTTCGGGTCTATTTATAAAACCTCAAACTTTGGAAACATCGGCTAAACACAAAAAATTGTGTGATTGAACATACTACCAATTTAAGTGATTGGTACAATGTGAACGTGTGTGATAAAATTTTATTTAAAATGGAGGAGTTTCAAGAAAGGGATAGTGGTTGGGCTTTATGTGAAATTTGGTTTTTGAAAGTTAACATAAACTCTTATAATCCGATTGGTGTAGGAATTTCTACTTTTGTGAGTATTCCAGATTTCATTAAAAAAACTAAGGCTGTGATAAATATTAAAAATAACGATGTTTATTGTTTTTTGTGGTCTGTGGTGTGTGCTATACTTGGTCCTAAACCAAAAAAAAATATTAGTCGTACGACATCATACGATGACTTTAGAAGTGTTTTGAATTATGAAGGAATTTCTTTTCCCATAGCCTTGAAAGATATTACAAAATTTGAGGCTTTAAACCAACAATGTTTTTTGTGTGAAAAAACGTGAAATTTTACCTTTAATGTTAAGTTATATACAATTTTATACAAACAAAGTTAATTTACTCATTTTACCTTGCAATAATGTAAAACTTGATCAGAATGAATATTTTAGACCCGAAAATAGATTATTTGATTTTGCGTGTATAAAAAATTTAAGTCGTTTATTGTGTTAACAAGTTGGCAACTATCGACATAAAAAATGGTTTTGCGAGCGATGTCTCAATCATTTCTCTAGTGAGAGAGTATTAAAAAGTCATTCGTGAGAATGTAGAACAATGAACAAGGCGAAAGTTATCCTACCTGAGGAAACGGAACGAATGTTAAAATTTAAAATTTTTTCAAATAAATCGTCTGCTCCATTCGTGGTCTATGCTGATTTAGAAAGTATGCTTGTGAAATATGACGATAAAAATGGTGTAAAAAATCAAGAAAATATCAAAAACATGAAGTATTCAGTATAGCATACTATCTAAAATGTTCATATGATAATTCGCTCTCAGAATTTAAAATGAAAACAGGTCAAAAGTGTCAAGAATGGTTTGTTAGGGAGCTTGAACGAATTGCAAGAAAGTTTCAGTCAATAATTTCCAATATTATTCCAATGAATTTAAGTAGACAAGAAGAAAATAGTTTTTATACAGCGAAAGCATGTCATATTTGTAAAAAACTCTTCGCCGAATCTGATGTTAGGGTTCGAGATCATTGTAATTTAACTGGAAAGTATAGAGGTGCTGCACACCAGTCCTGTAATTGTAACCATTTTAGATATAAACATATCATACCTGTAATCTTTCGTAATCTTTCAGGATATGACAGTCATTTTATCATTGAAGCCCTTTGTAGTAAAATAAAAGGCAAAATTGACTTACTTGCAATCAATTAAGAAAAATATATCTCATTCACTAAACATGTCGACTCTTCAAAAATTTGTTTAAGGTTCATAGATTCATTTAGATTTATGTCTAGTAAACAAGAAAAATTAGCATCTTATTTGGATGATAATCAAAAAACTATCACAAGAAATTATTATAATAATGATGCTAAATTCAAGTTGGTCACTAGAAAGGGTGTTTTTCCCTACGAGTCTATCGACTGTTGGGGTAAGTTGGAAGACATCAGTTTGCCACCAATTCAACAATTTTACAGTCATCTTACAAATTCAACAGTTTCCGAAGACAAATATGAGCATGCTCAAAATGTTTGGACTACTTTTAACATCAAATGTATTCAAGAATATGCCGAGTTATATTTAAAAACTGATGTCTTTCTTCTTGCCGACGTTTTTGAAAATTTCCCTAAGCTATGTTTGACCACCTATGAATTAGATCCTGTTCATTATTATACTGCACCAGGTTTTGCTTTCGATAGTATGTTAAAAATGACTGACATTTCATTAGATCGTTTGACTGATATAGATATGATTATGTTTATTGAAAAAGGTATTAGAGGTGGAATTCCACAATGTTCAAATCGATATGGGAAAGCTAATAATAAATATATGGGCAATGCATATGACTCTAACAAACTATCTACGTATCTAATGTATTTTGATGTTGTCTACTTGTATGGAGCGGCGATGAGTTATCCCCTGCCTACAGGTAACTTTGAGTGGGTTGGAGACATTTATGAGATATCAAACATTTCTGATATATCTGAAGACAGTGAAGTCGGTTATATCTATGAAGTTGACCTTGAGTATCCTAGGGAATTATTTAATCTGCATATGGATCTGCCACTTTGCCCTGAACATATGGTTCCACCAAATTCAGCATCTACAATCCCAAAATTACTAACTACACTTTACAATAAGAAAAAATATGTTATTCACTATAAAATGCTTCAGTTGGTCTCTAAATAAGGTGTTAAAATTGAAAAAATTGTCTTATATTTAATCAGTCACCTTGGTTAAAAAAAATATATTGATTTAAACACTGAATTGCGAAAAGCTAGTTTAAATGAGTTTGATAAAAATCATTACAAGTTGCTGAATAACGCAACCTTTGGTAAAACCATAGAAAATGTTAGAAAGTATAGGGATGTGGAATTGGTTACCAGATGGTCGGGTAAATATGGTGCAAATTATTATATTTCTCAACCCAATTTTAAATTTTGTGAAGTTTTTGGTCAAGATATGGTACTTATTGAAATGGATAGACAAAAACTAAAATTCAATAAACCTATTTATGTTGGTATATCCATTTTAAAATCGATTTTGTATAATTTCCATTACAACTCCATAAAGGAAAAATTTCATTTAAATTCAAAATTATTATACTGCGACACGGATAGTTTAACTTATCGATTTTCAGATGTTGACATATATAAATGTATTAGAGATAATATTGATATGTTTGATACCTCAAACTATCAAACTGACAATGAATATCAAGTTCCCCTTAAAAACAAAAAAGTATACGGGTTAATGAAGGATGAAAATAACGGTAAAGTCATGACCGAATTCGTTGGATTAAGGTCTAAAATGTATTGTTTTAAACTTTTAAAAACTCCAGAGCAGGACAATATCATCAGATCATGTGAAACAAAAAGCCAAAGGTGTGAAATCATCCGCATTAAAACTTATTACATTTGATGATTATTATAATTGCTTTTTTCATAATACTTGTGTTGAAGTTCAACAAAATTCAATTATTTCCAAAAAGCATGATATTTTCACA